CCCCAAAACCCCAAAACCCCAAAACCCCAAGAGATTGAAATGAATATAATTTTTGAGTAATTCTAATAATTAAATAATAATTGGAAATGTAGAGAGTAGTTGACTATTCGAATCACGATCAATTTGATTCATTTTAAGAGAGTGGTAATAACCTCAATCAGATAAATTAGGACAATCAGGATAATTAGAACTTATTGGGCTTTTCTGGATTTCAAACAGAGATTATTCAAAAGTACAATCAGTATTAATCAGTATCAGTCAACGGACCAAAATGGTCAAAAGAAGGAGGGTAAGTCCACAAACATTTTTTAATTCTCAAATTTCTACTTTAGAGTCGGCTAGTACAGACTTTATAAAATAGAGACTAAGACAAACTAATAAGTTGAGTTCTTTTCAGTTTATAGAAGATTTAGAGACTTTGAATGGTTGTATCAAATTTTATAATTGAAGTTTCCAGCTTGTATTATTCCCCCGATTCCACCTAAGAATGCCTTTGGAAATTGGTATGCTGATGAATCTGAGTAAGTTTAGATCAGAAAAGCTGGTCTTGAGAGGTTTCTAACAAAAGTTATGAATCATAGATTAATGTGTGAATCAGATGATTTGAAAGGCTTTCTCACTGAAGCTGATCATTAGTTTGAGGAAAGAAAGAGGCAATCCTAATAATTTATCACTGAAAATTCTGACTAGTAATAAAGCTACTCGTCTATGGCTATTACAACCATTACATCAGCATTTTCAAAGGCATCTGAGAAGATGAGTGGCTACCTATGGAGTCAAAACTCTCCTAAGCCAACAGCAAGGAAATATTCTTTCAATGGTTAGAATCCAGAGGGGCAATAAGAATTAGACAGATTTTTAAACAACGAGGAGTATCTAGAAACTTTGAGAGAGAGTTTTTAGTCTCTATCAAATGAAATTCTAACTCTCATAGATTGTACTGAGGAATCGTCAAAGAATTACTCTTAATTATCAGAGAACTTCGCAAACTTTTAGAATATGAAAGGAGCTAATATTGACTAGTTATACACACTTTCTAAGGAGATATCAAGTACCTTTCAAAATACGAGTAATTAAAAAAAGGAAGAATTGGAAGATTAAGTTCGCAAGCTAAAAGATCCAATTGATGACTATAAATTAATGATTGAAGCTGCAATTAGTGCTTGTAATAGAAGAAGATAGCTTGTTTATAAATACTATGTAATGATTGAGTAGCAATAGAAATCCTAATAATCAGTTCTTATGTAAGAATATGAAAATTCTGGAGCAAGAAACTAGCATTCTTAGTTGACCAAAAAAATTGAAGAAATGTTTGAGAAAGTTAAAGAAAGTGCTAAAATTCTAGAATAGGAATTAAAGCTATTTAGATAGTAAAAAGAAGTAGAACTAAAAGCACTTATCAGTGAGTTTGTAAATATACAAAAGAAGTCGAATGAAAAACTTAAGAACTATTGGTAAGGGTTTTTGAATAACTCTGAGATAGGAAAAGAAGGAGCAGCAGGCCTTGAAAGTTAACTCAGTAGTTTATAATGATAATGAGGAAAAAAAATGTTTATTTCACTATTAAATTATAAAAATTTGGTTTAAAGATAACTAGTTCATGGGGTTTTGGGGTTTTGGGGTTTTGGGG